GCAAGGAGGCCGTGTCAGGCTCTCCACTAGAAGCACAATTTCAGGAGGGCTGTGACAGGGCTCCCCACACGAGCATCAGTGCCTCCCCACATGCGCGCACACACTTACATGTAGATGAGCTCTGATTCGTGGCGCACCAGCATGTGCTTCTCATGGATGAGTTTGAACCAGTCCACCAGCAGGCTGTCCTCAGGGCTGTCTGCCAAGCGAAGGGACAATTCAAAGCCATCCCCAGCCCTGCAGGATCCCATCACTTTGCAGCAGGATGGGCTCTGCCACGCCAGGAGAGCAGCACTGGGTTAGAGCCAACCTGACCTCAGCCTGTTCCCGAGCCCCAGAGAGACCTTATCTCTTCTCCCACGTTTCCATTCTAGGGACATCTCTGTGTCCATGGTATGGCTGTGACCGTCCTTGGAGTCCAGCACAGCCCCCTGTGCTCTTCCAACCCCAGCATCAGCAGGGAGGAAGTCACCACTGCGATCTCCTTGGCTAAACACAGGGCAGCCCTAGGGTCCCGTCCTGCCCCACATCCACAGAGCCCATCCCACATACCATTCTCAGCACTGCGAAGTTTTTCCTCCAAGGCCACGCCACGGTGCTCCAGCTGGTCCAGCTGGTGCTCAATGGCATCCATCTCCCCATAGATGTCTTCCTCGGGAATGTACTGATCTGTCTGCACCTGCCAAACCACACGGCAGAGACTTCCATTACCATCAACCCCCGGTTTCCAGGGGTAACCCTGAGGCTGGTCAACACTAGCGGAGGCACGGGACAACAGAATGCTTCACCTAAGTGTGGACCTGAAATCCCCACCCCACTCTGGAGCAAAGGGAGACCATGGTGCTGCCACCAACTGTGTCTAGCCTAGACACCATCCTCCCCAGCCACAGCCCTCTACTGCAACCCCTACCCAAACATGCATCAGCGGGGTGCAGCTATAGCCCTGGGGGATAGTGCAGACCTGGCTTTTGCCCCCCTGCTCCCGAGGGCCCTTTTACCTTGCGTTTGATCAGTGGGAAGCCATGTCCCGGTGCAGGAGGACGCACTGGCTTAGAGCCCTTGGGAGGTTTCTTTGCGGAGGGAGAGGCAGCAGGTGATGGCTTCCGGTTGAAGGGGTTCTCTTTACAGGAAGACTGGAGCGGGGGGGACAAAAGGAGATACATGAGGGTCTGGGAAAGGGAAGGGATATAGCATCCCAACAGCTGGGACTGAGCAGACAGGGCAGCCCTAGGGTTCATCCTGCCTCACATCCTCCTAGAAGAACATAGCACTGATCTCCACCAGCAGCCTAGCCATGGGGCAAAAAACAGCTCTGCTCCTGTTTGGCATAAGTTCCCCAGCCTCATCTCTAACAAGCATGCTAAATTATTTTCCTTCATGGTTCCCTTCCTATTTTCTCTGAGCACAAGATATCCCGCCTCTTCTCTAGCATGTGGGGCAGGCAGAGTATAAGCAGAGCCATGATTTAACGAGCACGTGCCTAAGTCTTGCTTTCAGGGGGTAACACACCAAACCTGCCTAAGTTGCAAGCCTGGACTCATGAACCCCACTGTGACCAAGTGATGGATGGGGAAGAAAAGCCCCCTGATCGGGATGGGTGGAAGGTCACCATCTCACCTTCAGCTGTGGCTTGGGCGAGGAGGGGGTCTTAGGGCTCCCAGCACCCCCATCTGAAGCCAAGAGGATGGGTGTAGGGCTAGCCCCAGCAGGAGGCTTGGGGGGCAGCCGGCTGGGGCTGGTCTTTAAGCTGCCAGCGGAGACGCTCCTGCTGGCATGTGGGGTGCTTGACTGTGTCTCTCCGCTGAAGCTGGCCAGCTCGCTGGAGGAGGAGAAGGAGGAGTTGGTGGAGAGGCTGGCTGGGGCAGCAGGGCTTTCGCTGGAAGAGATGCTGGCCAGTGGCGTGTCAGTGCTAGAGGTCTTGGTGGCCGTCGGCATGTGGACAGTGGGCTCAGAGGAGCTTTTGGGCACCAAGGCCTCGTCAGCATCACCCAGCACCTTCGCTGAACTCTCAGAGTTGATGCTCTCGAGGCTGAGGGCTGGAGATGGGGTGGAGGACGATGGCTCGGAGTGTGACAGCCTGGAGATGGGGTGGTGGGCTGCAAAGCAAAAGGAGAGCTCAGGGAGGAAGGGGGGGAAGCCAGGAGAAAAGGGGAGAGTGGTATGTACTGGGGGCAGTCATGAGTACAAAGGGAATCAGTGTCTGTCCTCAGAGAGGACAGATGGGACCCTCCAGAGAAAAGGTCTTGCCTGCCAGTGCTGTGCTCCAGTGGGTAGAGAGGACGTGACTAACACAAGTCCCAGCACAACCATCACCACGTGAAGGCCTGGACAGCCAGGATGATGCAGAGGCACCCTGGGAAGGGGGAGCCACCAAGGGGCTGCACAGGAGTCACGGAGGAGGAATAAGGGGGTGGGGGGAAGCTCACCTAGTGGGGAAGCACTGGGAGCTCGCGGAGCTGGCCGCTTCTTCATCTTTGGACTGCTGGTAGGAGTGATGCCATACCAGGGGTGGAGAGGCTTGGCAGCAGTCTCGCTCTGCTCCTGCTCAGGTGTGCTCTTTTGGACAGCAGCGCTCTCCTCTTCCTCCTCCTCATCCTCCTCCTCGAAGGGGTTGTATGGTTTGGGCTCTGTGGCGTCAGATCTGCTCTCCTCACTCCTGGCTTTCCCCACCTCCTCCCCATCCTCCTCTTCTGAAGTCTTGCTCAGAGTCTCATGGCTGCTGCCTGGGGGTGGAGGGGGAGCTGGCTTCTTCTTGGGCTCTGCTTGCACTAAGGCCATCCACGGTGGGTCCTTGGCTCTCGCAGCAGCTCCAGCACTGGGAGAAGAGAGAGAGAGAGATAGAAGTGGCCGGAAGCAGAGACAAGCCAGGAGGGTGAGGCACAGGAGAGGAACTTAGCCCTCAGGGAAAAGGATGGATGGAGCAGGACATCTCCCATACAGAAGCAGCTTTCTCATCCAAGGGAGGCTCTAGTCTTCCCCAGACACAGAGTGTCTTGTTCTCTGTGGGCAAACCTACAAGCCTGAGGGAAGCACAGCCTGCCTGGCTCGCCCGCATTTTGGTTTCTGAATATTACAGCCTGCTAAGCAATGGTAAAGGCTGAGCTTTATGGGCACAGCTGTTCTTCCCTCCCCAACACCATTCCTACAACCAGCTCTGCTCCCCAGGCTGTGCATGGAGGGGGAGTCAAGACCAGATAACTGCCCTCTGTGGTCACGCTCCATTCCTACACTTCAGAGGACTGTCTGTCGCCTTCAGAGCGTCCCAGGGACTGACCCCTCCTCATTAACTCCTGCGGTGGAAATCCCCTGCTCCTCTGGAGGCACAGCCCACAGCCAGCCTGCACCACGGCTCAGTGAATCACTGCTCACCAGGAAAGCAGCCGTCACTTGCCGCATGCACCCGCTCCGTGGCTGTTGCGAACACGGAGTGCTCGTGCAACCTCTCTGTCCCAAGAGCAGGCAAGAATGAACCAATGCCAGTGGGCTCCTGGGTAAGAGCCCGGGACATGTAAAGGTTGCAGCCAGGCACTCACAACATCCCTGCACTGGACCTTTCCCAGGACAAACACTCCACAAGGCAGACAAGTGTCCCCTTCTCATCACCCACAAGTAGGGCCATCTCAGAAGGCACTTGGCAGCCTGCATGTGCCACAGAAACATCTTTCTGAAGCCCCCAAACTCTTTACAAACCCCAAGAGACAAAGACCCTGGGAGATATGGACCAACACTGTCAGCCTGACTGTACTGGCACCCATCAGGGAAGGGACCTGATTATAGGCTACACCCTCCTAAGAGCAGGGGCTGATGGAGGCAGGAGAGGAGACCACAGCTGAGCCATCCCCACAGCCCTGCCTTGCTATGGGGTTTGCAGGTGACCTGTGAACAGAAGGACGTACCGATCAGAGGAGCAGGGTCTCCCTCGGGGTTTTGGGACAGGGGGGCTGGGTTCAGGTACCCTACCTAGAAAGACACAGGGTCAGACTGTCACAACACCAAAGGACATGAAGAAAGAGGTTAAATCAACACGAGACACCTCTTACACATCTCCCTGCAGAAGGCTGGCTGTTCCCACTCCCTGAAGACCTCATGGCATTTCTCCCACAGTCAGTCAACCCCAAAATTCCCCCTTGCCTTTTTCTCCCCACCCACCTCTGAAGCTACACCTGGAGAACTGACCTGCCCCACTGTTCCCACACCTGTGAACTGCTCTAGCACAGCCACCTTTCTGCCACACTGGCAGCACCCCCCTGAGAGCTCCAGAGAAATAAATACAAGGCAGCAGGCTCCCCGCTATGGGAATGGCTGGCAACCGAAGGCTTGGTGTCTGAGTCTGAGATTTATTCGGTACAGAAGGCTGTCAGGCTGCAGAGAAGGAGCAAAACTAATCCAACCTGCAGCCGACCATCTTGGCTACTGCAGAGGCAGATGGTAACCCCTGCCACCACTGTGCTCTTACCATTCACCATGCCAGGCCCACACTCGCTGCCCTCACCCTGGGGGATGGACCTGGGCCGGGGGACAGGGTGAGAGGTCGGAAGGGAGAGTGCTGACGCATCGGTGGCCCTCCTTGGGGCAGGGGTGGGCCGCGTGTCTCTCAGCCGTCTGTCCAGTGAGCTGGCTTTGTCCTGGGTGAGCACCGTGGGCTTGCTGGGAAGGGGAGGTCTGGGGGGAGTTTGGGAGACGGGCACCCCGCTGCCTGCGTGGGCAAGGGGCACCGCTGTCTCTGCTTTGCCGGGCATGCTGTCTTTCTCCGCTGGGCTGGCTGACCCCTCTGCAGGCGTATGGGTCTCTGCTGTGCTCTCCAGGGAGTCACTGTCATCCTTCCCCACCTCCGCTCCTGCGGGGAGAGTGTCCTCACCCACGCTGCCAGCCCCAGTTTCAGTTCTTAGCTCTGGCGACCGTCGGTCTGGGCTGGGCCTCCTCTCCGCCTTTCCGCTCACAGCCAATTTACCACGATGCTGCGTGCAGACGAAAGTCCCTGCCTCTGACCCGGGCTTGTATGACCCCGGGAGCAGTGTACTGGAGCATTCCTTACACCTGCCAACAAGAAGAGAGTGCCCCGTGAGATGGGGATGCCATCCCATCCTCAGGAAAGACAACACACCAGGGAGATCATTGCAGGGCCATGGAGTTAGTTGCCACCCCTGCTACTAAATCCTAGCGTGGTCATGGGGAAGTCATTCAAGAAAGGAGAGGAACAGAGAAATGCCACCATGCCACTGTGTGAACCCACAGGGAGTTCACAATTCAAATATTGCACGCATTTGGGTTCCTCCTTCAATGCAGAAAGGTTTTAATAGATGTGGAAGGGCAACAGCTGATATTGGAATACAGCATGGTTTCCAGACCTGGAAAACTAGAAACCCACAGTTTTCCTGGAAAAGATGCAGCTAGTGGGGGATAGGAGAGGGCTACAAGATCACAGGCAGCCCTGGGAGGGCGAAAGGGATCAACCATTCACAGACATGAAACAGGGAGTGTCAACTGGAATTAGGGAGCTGCTGGTTCAGAACTGGCACAGGGAGGCTATGGGCTGCCCTGTGGGAGCCAAGGGTAGGTTAAAGAACCATCAGACGCATTTGTATGGGAAAAAAATAAAACAAAAAAACACCAAACACCGAGTATTAAATAAAATGATACTGCTTCCAACACAGGAAATCCCTGCGCTGGGGACTTGAAGAGTACACAAGAGAAGCAACATACATGCCTAGCCCAGTTTCACACTTGCCCTCGCTGGTGCCAACCATGGCCACCGCCAGGACATTTGGCTGGGAGCACCAGGGAATGACGCAGTAGTGCTGTTCTTACATTCACTCTGCCTTGCCTGTTGAAACTGAGCTAATAGCTTTCCTGTCCTTCACTGTCTGCCACATCTCTTTGGATCATCCACTCCTTCCACACTGAGCCTTTGAATCCTCCCTAATGAAGCCCTCCAGGCACAAGCGTAATACGCAGCATTGGCAACCAAGTCAGCCCTTTTCCACCTGGGAAGGGAGGAGAATAGCATACATGAAAGAGAGCTGAGGGCAAGGGGCCGATCAAGCACTCCCATGAAAACCAAGCTTGTTTCTTCTTGTCTGAATACCTGGCGCTCCCAGCAGCTGGCTGCCCTACACTGCAAGCAGATAGTTTTGGTGAGGAATTCTGCTCTGGGTGTCCAGTTGCCTGGGATTTCCTTTGAAATGTAGAGCAGAAGCATGAGGACATAGGGGCTCTAGAAAGAAGGGGTATCATGAAATGAGAGGTGGCAAGTTTGGACAAGGGGAGAAAGAGGTTTGTTTTGGTTTTATCTCCGTCAACCCACAGAAAACACTGCCACAGGACATTCTTGACCAAGCACCCATGAATTAGCAGGGGGAAAAAAAACCAAAAAAGACAAGGAAAGCATAAGGAGGCAAAACACTCAGGATGAAATTACAGGGATTTCACTGCTCAGTCTGAAGGGCCATGAGCTGTGCCAAGGCAGACACAGCATGTCTCCTATTCCTGGCCTGTGAGCAATGCTGCACCTGCACCCCAAAGCACCTGTTTTTGCCTCAGCTGCAGATGGGAAGCTTGATGGGCCCCAGTGCAGCTCCCTTCCTGCAATGCTGTTTCTATGACACATCCTCTGCTGGCTTAGGCAGGAATTGTTTATACAGGTGAGTGAGACCTCCCATATTTTCCCAGTGGCTCAACATTTCTGTCCTCAAATGCCAGCTGCCCACTTGCCAGCTCTTGTCCTGTGGCTCACAGGAGAGATCTCATCCCTTCATCAGAGCAGGGAAAGCAAAGTGAAATGACTTCACAGGTGCTGCAGGTAAGGACCTGCACCCAGGGAGTAACCACAGAGCTGCTGACGTCTAATCCCTCATTCCTCAGTTTGGCAACAGTCTGCACCTCTCCACATGCCCTCCTGAGAGCTCAGCACCACATCAGGCAGGGTGGGAGCCTGTATATCCACTTGAGGATGTGGAATGTAGGTGGAAGGACGTCTGTGGGATGATGTCCTGGCTTAGACTTCATCAGAAGATGGTGTTGGGGGTTCTGGGTAGGCAGGTGGTAAAGAGGCAGAGTATCCTGGTTTATGGAGGTGGGAAAAGAAAAAGGGGCTGGGATCCCAAGTCAGTGGACTGGGAAAGCACAAGAGAGCAGGTTAGGCAGGGAGCAGGGGAGGCAGGCAGCACAGGTCTGTACACAAGGGGCTGGTCAGACCCCTGGGACGGGGCAGGCAAACAGACCCTCTTCAGTACCATTTCAGGCACTGTGTTGCCCAAGGACAAGGACACATGAAGGCAGGGTGCAGCTGCCTGCAAACCTCCAGCTTGCCCGGGGAGAGCAGCTGCGCCAACCAGGCCTGGCCGTGACATACCTGAAGCACTGGCGGTGGTAGAGCTTGCCCTCGGCCAGGTAGCGCTGGACCAGATGGACGTGCTGCTGGCAGGCCGCACAGGTACTGCTGAGCGTGGTGCGCTGGGACTGCTCTGCTGGGTCCGAGGGGGCATCGTCCTGAGACACAAAGCATGGGGAGCTCAGGACATGCGCCACAAGCCACTCCCCAGCCCACGGCTCCTCCAGAGCAGCTGTTCCCCATGCAAGGTCCACAGCTGAGTGCTTATGGCACAGCTCAGGGGCTGACCTCAGGGTCCAACAATGCACAGAACAGCTGCCTCCGAGTCCAGGCACAGGCAGGCTGCCTCTTCCCAAATTAGAGGGGGCCACTCCAAAAAGTGCCTTGCCCCTATCTAGAGGCAAGGCTGAAATGCTGTGGAAGGGACTCATCTAAATCCCGTGCAGCGGGGATCTGCAAGGGGAACCTCCTCTATTTGGAAAATGTGCCATCCCAGACATTCACTAAAACTTGAAATAAAGGGCCAAGAAAGAAAAAGGCATCTTTTCTGCTCTTCTACTCCCACATTACTGCTCCTTCATCATCTACAGAGGTATCCTCCCCTAGGAAGGAGGGTGTTTGTGCCCTGGGTGGCTCAAGGAACCACCAGTCTCTTGCCTGCCATGGACATATTTCAGTCCACAGACTTGTAGAGAGAAACGACTCTCAGCTGGGTCCCCCAAGGCACCAAAATGCCAAACACCTCTCCTACCCCAAAACACATAGTTAGCCCGCTGTACGGATGCATTCTGCTGTGACGGGCTCTCTCCTGTCTCCTCACCTGCAGCACAGGGAGGACCTCTGCCTATGGCTGGCTTCGAATCAAGAAATTAGGTACCTGTGGTGCCAGGGGACTCTCGACCACAGCCACGGGCTTCTTGTGGGACAGCAGAGGAGGCGAGGAGGCAGCAGCTGGGCGCTTCATAGGCGGAGGGACTCTGGCTGGAGACAGAAGGCAAGGAGGGTCAGGCACCAAGAGGGTGACTCACGCCACCCATGTGAGCAAAGGGGCGGGGAGGGGAAAAAAATCATCCAGCCTTGTGACACAGAATGGGACTTGCCACTCCCAACACTTCAGTGCCTATTTTAGTGGGACAAAACAAACACAATCTAATAATGGGTCAGCTGCGAGGCTGCCAGAGAGCCTAGTCCTGCTGTGAATCCCCTTCCATGGCTCAGGGACCCCAGCCTCTCACTGTGATTTGATTTACTCATCAAATGCTGCTTGACTTCCTTGCAACCAACTCCCTAAGCAATGCTTAAAGCCCAGAGCACCCCGAGTAGCTGCTGATGTATTGTTGCAACACGCTAGGCTCCAGGGCTTCCAGGCTGTCAACAGGTCTGCAAAGCATCCCTTGTCCGTCAGGGCTGGCACTCACACACCAGTCCCCAGCAGGAGTGCTTGGCTGGGCAGTCAGCATCCCTAGAGAAGCATAGGCACATGGAAGAGATTTAGCTGACATTGTGGCTAAAGAGTGGAGCAGAGGAGACCTGGAGCCCTCGTCTCCACCCAGGAAGGATGCCCTGAAAGAGCTGTCTCAGAGCAGCACTCAGCCCAGGTCGCAGTTGCAAGGACAGATGAGCTGATTTGAGACACTTCACCCTGGACCCCCTCCCTCTGTCCTCCGGTTGCTTTACACTTAACCATTGTGACAAAAATTAACTACTGTAGGCGTATTGCCTAGCTAGCTTTCTCCCATGTTAGTGGGTTAAAGCAGATCACAAAGGGGTCTGATGAGCACCAGGGGTGGCCCAACCCAAGTGGCAGGGATGCAGCGTCGAGGGAGGAGAAACAAGGCGTTCCTCTTTCTGCAGCCTGAGCTGTTCCATCACTCCCCACCTCTTGTGAAACCTCACCCTACTCCACTCCCTGTTCCAGGTCTTCCTCACCCACACCAGCAAGATCCAGGAGAGGCAGGTACTACCTGCTCCTCTCCCCTTCCCCACAAACACACACAGCTCCCATTTGCCATAGGAAGGTGGAAGCACAAGGTACCACTGGGTTTCCAGTACTCAAGTAAGGGCAAACTGGAAGCCAGAGGGTTGGGAGGACACTCACCTTGGTTGGGGTTGTTGAAATGGTTGTAATACTGAGACACGTACGTCATGATGCTTAGGCAGTCAGGGACTTTCATGGAGACCATGTCATTGGGATCTAACAGGGCTGGGATGCCCAGCTCCCGCTCTGCCAATTCAAAGGCCTGCAGGGACAGCAGAGAGAGATGGTAAGGAGAGAAAACTGATGCTCTCTGAAAAATAAGAGAAATAAAGGTGGAAAGGACCTGGGGGAGGTTAAGTAGTTAAGAAGGTTAAGCCTATGGCATCCCTGACAGACAGAGGCTCCCAGACGTGCCACTTCACTGGAAAGGTGGCATCAGACGCAAGGGAACAAGTTGCTGCAGCTGCCCTTTCCTCAAAGTCATTTCAGCTGCCTGCGCCCCAGCAGCTCCCACCTGAGTGGTCTTGGCATTTAGCTGCTGCACTGGGACAGAGAGGGTAACTCTCAGGAAGTCTCAGTTTTCACTGGAAAAAAAAAACCAACAGTGTTTTTTCAACCCGTGAAACGGGCACACGACCCGTGTCTTCATGCAAGAACCCGGCAGAGAGTTGGCACCGTGAAGGGCCAAGGGCTGGAAGATAATTCCAGTGATGCAGCCAAACACCAGCTTTATTGAGCAGTGGCTCTGGCAACCCTAAATGCTCACCCCACAGAAACACTGACCCTACCTATCCTTTCACGCTCTGAGGTGTCATGTCGACCCCTCCTGCCGTTAACATAGCCATCTCTGCTCAACAGCCAGCAGCCTGCCATGCACAAGCCACTTCAGTGCTTTTCTGTGTCTCAGCGAGCAGAAATGACAAGGACATTGTGATAAGAAGCACAAAGCTCCTATGATTGCATACAGAACTACTTGAAAGGAAGGAGTGAAGGAAGAAAATAGCTGTTTGAGAGCTTCCCACTTAGTGGTGTATGTGGATTACTGGCTATACACCGGCCATCCCGCTGTTGTGCCACTGGCAGCGTACCCACAATGATGTCTGAGGGAGAAGGGATGCAAGATTGCAGCAGGGACTGAAGAGAAAGCGAGTCAGAAGGGGACGGGCACTGAATGGTGAGGTGCTAGGTGCAGGGTGTGGGTAAAGACCAAAGGTGTCTGATCTCTTGGGTACAAGATGCTGTACAGGGTGTGGGATCTAAAGAAAAGGAATGGAGAAATAAATGAAAATGGCTACTTGCAGTAACTGGGGGTGTAAAATGCCCACTGTGGACACCCAGCTCTGCTCAGCCTGACTTTAAGTCAGTTCTCTGGACTGAGCCTTGCTGGTCACAACAGTGCAAGCAGCAGGAACAATAAGAGACCTCAGCTTAGGCAAGAAACCTGTCGTATGGCTCTCGAATGGGAAAAGATAGCTGCTATTTGCTGAAAGGGGCCAACTGGTCTAGGAAAGGGCATGGCCAGGACCCAACTGGAGAGCCCTAATCCCCAAAATCCAAATGACCTAGCTTAACTTGTCTTGGGAAGGTGATGGCCCATGTCTCTCCATGGACTATCAGATGGAGCCTGCAGCAATTAGGTCTTTCTCTCAGAGAAATAACAAGGCTACTGCTGCTCTGTCCAACCCCTAGCCCCTGGTGTTGGCCATCTTCCCATTCTCCACTGCCTCCTTCTGCTGGTGGCTCCAGCTGTCCCAAGCAGGAGGGAAACACTGCAGACCAGCCAAGGTCCATTATGACCTTCCTCTCTGCTTACGTGTGGAGTAAAACTAGCTTCTTGCTTCCATTGCCTGCAAGCCTAGAACAGCTGAGATCAAGATGATGTTGCACCATTTTAACCTTCACCTGAGATGTTGTCTGGGCAACTATCAGGATTACCATCTTATCTTCTCTTCAGTCCAGGCCGGAATCTGATGTTTCAGATTCCCTTCTGTTTCCAGAGAAGCTCCTGCCTGTTACTTACAAACACAGATTTTTCTCACCCCTTCACCACCGTCACAAAGTCCTCCCACACTACATGACCTTCATCAAGTCATTCTGATGTCCTTTATTCCTTTTGTGTACAGAATAATGGGGACTTACCAAGCGGTTATTCTCATAGACATCATCCTTGGAGAGGGAATCAAAGTCTCTGAAATGAGGAAGCACAAAAAAAGCCACATGAGATGCAGAGGAAGAGGGCCCCAATGCCACCACACACAGGTTCTCAGGACAGCCAACCTTCCTGGGGCATTACAACAATCCAACATGTAAGACTAGATAAACAAAACCTTGGCAAACCAGATTTCAGCTTGTAAAGGGACAAGGAAACCAAAGGGAAATTGTAATTAAAAAAAGAAAGCAAGTCCCAGATGGGTGGTGGCCAGGAAATTAAAATGTCATTCTTGTCTCTCATTACCTGCTTGTTCTGCCCTCATGGTTAAAGGCTGCTGAAATACCAGGGCCATGTTGCAATCAGCACCACACAATGCTGCACCAAATGGTGCCCATCACCCCAAACTTGCCCCTCCAAGGCCACCAGCACAACAGCAGGAGGAGGATGGGGAAGCAGATCCCCCACCTTAAGAGAAAGAGTCGCCTGTGCTAGATCTCTTCTTCCTACGAGAGTCCTTAGACAAACCCTCTGGCACCACACCTCAAAGGATCTGAGGTCACTCCAGGATCTGGGGTGACACAGGTGGTTTTGAACTGCACTTCTTTCCTCTCTTGCCCCCCAACACTTGCAGTACACAGCAAACTGTCCTCGGTTGTGTCCAAGGCTGCTTACTGAATGCAAGGCACTCAGAGCACAGAGAAGAACCCCAGCAGTTCCCAACCCAAACATGTTGTGGCATTTCACTTGTGCCCCTGGATCCCTTTGGGGGATTGAATCAGCCTGGCCACAGGGATTGACGAGCTGCCTTCATCAGAGGAGCAGAAGGTTAAAGTGGTTTTCAACAGAGGGGGAGAAATACAGGGAGGAGTTAGTTATACCTTTTGCATGTATGCGTGAGTATAATGCGTGAAAACAGCAGCACGCTAAACCAATTACAGCCCCTTGCTGCGAAGGATCTCAGCTTGGTAGGCAGTAAGTTATCCATGGGACAGCAATGTGCCGTGGTGGCCAAGAGGGCCAATGGTATCCTGGGGTGCATTAAGAAGAGCGTGACCAGCAGGTCGAGAGAGGTTATCCCCTCCCTCTACTCTGCACTGGTGAGGCCTCATCTGGAGTATTGTGTCCAGTTCCGGGCTTCCCAGTTCAGGAGAGACAGGGAACTTTTGGAGAGGGTCCAACGGAGGGCTACGAAGATGGTTAAGGGACTGGAACATCTCTCATATGAGGAAGGGCTGAGAGACCTGGGGCTGTTTAGTCTGGAGAAAAGAAGGCTGAGAGGGGACCTTATCAATGTCTATAAATATCTCAAGGGTGGGTGTCAGGAGGATGGAGCCAGTCCCTTTTCAGTAGTGCCCAGGGATAGGACGAGGGGCAATGGGCACAAACTACAGCATAGGAAGTTCCACCTCGATACGAGGAAAAAATTCTTTACTGTGAGGGTGACGGAGCGCTGGAACAGACTGCCCAGAGAGGTTGTGGAGTCTCCTTCTCTGGAGACCTTCAAAACCCGACTGGACGTGTTCCTGTCCAACTTGCCCTAGGTAATCCTGCCTTGGCAGGGGCGTTGGACTAGATGATCTTCAGAGGTCCCTTCCAACCCCTACCATTCTGTGATTCTGTGATTCAGCTGTGTTAGCAAAAAGAACCCTCATGCAGCAGCTCAGTGTGCCTGGGAGCCGGAGTCACGGAGGAGGAGACAGCCCAGAGAGGTTTAGGGTCAGGCAAAGCCACCAATGGCCCAGAGAGAGGTGCCAAAGCTTGAGAGACCAACCCAGAAAGACAATTCAGATTAGAGGTGGGGAGTGTGTGTCCCCCACCCCAAAGGTGGTGTGCAGGAATCAGGGAAGATGGCAAATCCTCAGCCATGTGCCCACAGAGAGGGGCTGTGGGAGCCTCCCTTCCTCCATCCCCCTTTGGATTTTATTGCCTTTTCCTGTAACATCGACTCAACCCGCCCCAGCACCGCACCATAGGGCAACCGGCCCCTTCCCAAAGCCGCTTGCACGCCTTTCCCGATGCTGCAGAGGAAGTCCGTGATGAGCTCAGGAAGATTCTCCCAGCTGCCTGGGCCACCATAAAATTACACTTCCTCCGTTCAAAAGCAAGAGGCTGCTGGTGCTGTTTCCTCCCAGATAAATGAAACCACAGCTGCTTGCCACTGCGGGAGCAAATGTGGCAGATATGGAGGAGATGGGGCTGGACGTTCAGCTCTGTGTTAAGCACCTTTCTGAAAGCACGTGAAAATCCACACACAGAACTCAGCCTGTTCAAAATACTGCAACTTTTCTCTCTCTACATGCTGGTGAGGAAAGGCTACAGCCACAGCCTTCGCTTTGATGTGAAAACTAGTGTCTTTTTTGTATTTATGATTATTTTCCACTGGGAGATGTTTTTTCCCGTAAGTTTGGGTTGTTTTTTTTTTTTTTGCCTAGAAACCCCTTTAACCTTGCAGTATTTTTTTTTTCTTTCCTTTTAAAGAAAATACCAGCTTGGGAACACAGGAGAAGCGATGACAGCAAAGTTATATATCAACTGCCCTCTAAACATTCATGACCTTCATTTTGAATGCCCTCACTTTCAGGATATGGGAGTGGTGTAGCTGGAAGCTTGAAGACTCCTTGGTGGCCTGGGCTGGGATAGTATTTTTTGACAGACAAATCATAATGTCCATTCCACTCTGTCCCAGCAAACCAAAGCCGTTTTAGTAAACCAAGGCAAAACTGCCTGGGAAAGCAGATGCCAGCAGAGAGGACATGAAGCTCAAGGGGTAACAGGGGAGCTACCATGCAGTGTGGGAACTGAGGATTTTTTCCACTAACATAGGATTGCAGACGCTCAGCTTTTACCCAAGATACTGAAGTCCATCAGTACGACGCCCCAGGCATCACGGTTTACTCAGTTCCTCTCCCCTGCATGTCCCAGCTCCTTCTCTGAACAAGCCAAGCAGGACCACGCTGATCTCCACCACACCCGACATGAGCACTCCCACGTGCCACTCTGCTGTGCAGCATCCCCATGGCTCCAGGTAGGCTCCCTGTACCAACGTGCAAGGAGCACGGCCTCCCAAGCATGGGGGAAAGTCACATCACACACACACACCCCTTTCCTCTCTATACACTGCCTCCTCTGCAGAAAGGCCAGAACTTGCCATCCCGCAGCTCCGTGACATGTGGCTGCATGTCACATTATTTCCTTGCCCTGATCTCAGCAGCCTTTCATCCAGCCCCGCTCAGGCTCCTCTGCTGACAACATACCAGTCCCAGGAACTGGATGTAAGAATAGGCGAGACTCTGGATACCCCAGTTAAACAACTGTCTTGACTCAGCAAACCCCAGCGTCGTAGCATATCCTGGAGTAGTATTTCCATACAAATAACATCCCAAGCGCTTACCTAATTAGAACCATACAGAGCCACTAAGCACTCCGGGGTTTAGGGCAGCTGCCAGAGAGACCACAGCAGACCCAGGGAAGGGGGAAGGGTACGCCATACAGCTAAAACCCGAGCAAATTCCTGGATTCCTCAAACATAAATCATGAGCACTTTTAACGGCAGCACCGCATAATAAGCCCTTCAGCTTTCCAGTCTTGTCAGAGAAATGCAGGCAGTACATGGGAAGGAACAAATGAGATTTGTGATCCTGCCTGTAACCAAACCCATAGCTCTGGGGACACAAAACAGCATTTCTAGCGCACAGCTCTCATCTCCTGTTTTCCTCAAGCCTCTGCCTCTCCCTCGGCACTCGAAAGGCGTGTGCCATGCTCTCTTATTCTTCTCGCCCCTGAATGCCAAGAACCTCCCCTGAGCTCCGGGGAGGCTGCACAGCTTGGGACACTGAAAGATGCTTTCTGCTTTGCTAAGCTGCAGCAAATGCCTTGTAAACACTAATTTCATGCTTCAGATTTCTAGAGCATTGAGCAAACAAACTCATTAATCCCCACAGTCCACTGTCAAGTTGGCCTGGATGCTTCCAGCTTAACTGACAGGGGAAAAGAAAAGATTAAATGTCTTGCCTCGAGATCACACAGCCAGCAACGCAGTCAGAAGCTAAATCTAGGTTTCCCATTTCCCTGACTGGGAAAGAGAGGCAGTGAAACCAAGCGAGGTGTGTACAGTAGCGGAGCTAGAGTCAGGGACTATCATCTTCATGGTTCAACACAAAGGTCCTGCAGGTATGCACCTCATCCTTGGTGGTCAGTTCAAGACATGTTTAGTTGGATTCAGTAGACACTTCCAGGCTACTTCTTTCAAAAAACAAAGAAATCCCCCCAAAATCCTCAAAACCTCTGGTGTTTCCAAGAGCTCTGCAGGAGCTTCTCCAAAGCTCTCCAGGGGAGCATCCCTCTGATGCCACTTGCCTTATCCCAAGGTCACTGTGTTCAAATCAGGGGTCACTTGGAAAACTGTCCTCAGCCTCACTTACACATGCGGCCTTTCACACATACAGTCTCTTCCCCAGTGTGTCACCTACCAGCACAGCAGTGCAACAGGGGTGCATCTGGGCAGAGTCAGGCAACCAGAACAGACAAACAAACAGCCACCTCAGCAGCAAAAGAAAGCCCGGAGGATCAGGGTGCCAGAGCAGCAGTGCTGCACTGGTAGAGAAGGGAGCTCCAGCTCAGCTCTTGTATGGATGTGCCCATTCCTCCCCTCTGCGACCCAAGTGGAAGCCAGCAGGAAGCAAGAAAGCAGTTGAGTACAGATGAACGTCAGCCTTCGGGGAGCAGCGCAGCAGTCTCATGTGGGCCAGGAGAGCCCCGCAGAAGGACCACACAAGGTCAGAAACATACTCGCATATCCCTGCCAAGTCCCATTACCGAGCTGACTGAAAGCACTTCAGAAGAGAATAAGGGAAACTACTTTTCCCCCGCTGTCAGGAGATTTACTGCTCTGATTTGACCTTCCTATTTCCAAATTGGGACAGGCTGAAGAAGCTGGAATCAGATGAAATGATGCTACTCTCCTGACCACCCTCTGAAAATCCTTCTACGACGTTCCATGTCCTTGTAAGGCCTTGGGCTTTGCCTCTATGATACAG